TGTGTTTCCCCAAAGTGCTACATGCTGCAGGGAACTTACCAATGTATAAGACATGGTTTCTATCCCCTAAAAGCTTCCCGTCTCCTTGGGACATGGAGCCTTGACAAAGCCAGAAGGACAGTGGTTCCTAATATATATAAGCCTGTTGCCATTGAGTCGATTCCGACTCATAGTGACCCTATAGGACAGAGTAGAACTGCCCCATAGGGTTACCAAGGAGTGACTGTGGATCCGAATGGCCGACCTTTTGGTTAGCGGCCTGAGCTCTTAACCACTGTGCCACCAGGGCTCCAATATATATATAAATATATGTATACACTAAATATATATAATATATATATCTGTGTGTGTATATATATATGTGTATATATATATATATACCCACACACACTAAGAGGTCCATATCAAAAGATTTTATACATATTTTATATATATATATATATATGATATATATAAAATCTTTTGGTATGGACATATGAAGGATAGCCCCAAACACATATACACAATGTTTCTCATGTAGTTTCAGGGGTTTACAGACTTCCCTTGGACCCTGGATTAAAATGCTTTCAGAGGGTGTCCCAGAGAGAGGAGTGCAGTGGCTGAGATGTGTGGTTCATACCTAGCAGGCCTCAGTCCTTTAAAAAATGCTCCAGATATAATGAATGTGGTTTGTATTATGCTACATTCTCATGGACATAAAAGCACACCTTCATAATTTATAATCTCTACTGTGATTAAGATAAACCAGGAATCTAATGAGTATGGGGTTTCTTTTCTGGGTGATGGGAATGTTCCAAAATTGACTGTGGTGCTGGTTACACGACTCTGTGAGTATATGAAAAACCCTTGAATTATACACTTTAAATGAGCAAATTGCATAGTATATGAATTATATCTCAATAAAACTGAAAAAGATATGTTTTCATGTATTTATTTAGATTTCTTATTTATTCATAATAATTATAATATGTGGTATCTATCATATATATTATATTTCTATATATAATTATATAGTAATATATTTTATATATTTATGCATTTTAATATAAATAAACTGAAAAGAAGGGACCTAGGTCACTTCTCAGCAGAAGCTTCTGGAGCTGGTATGTGGCCCGCCATGTCTCTCCTTCCCTCAGCCCCTGGACCATTAATGGTCCAGATGGAGGCTGCTCCCTTAGCCCGAGTCTCGCTGGAAAGAAGACAGGGAGCAGAGCCACAGCTGACCCTCTGTGGGCATGTCGTGTGAGACAGAAATAAACTTCAGTTGTGGTTAAAAACAAAAACAGCAAGCCAAGAATTACAGTGGCTGTAGCCATTGCATAGGACAGATGGGCTCCTGGGTGTGTAATAACTCTTGGTGCCTTAACTGTCACACTCCTCCTTTCTCTTCTTTTCAAGAAGTGGTCTTACAACCCAAGTGACAGAGAGGGATGCTATTACAGGGTTAGCTTTGAACCTGCTCCGATTTTTATGTTTTTCAGTCAAGCACGTACAGGTAGTAGTTCTTTAGTAGAGGTTGTGGGTTATTTGTGATGTACCCGGCATCCTTGGCACACTCACAACTGGTTGGGGGGTCTCTGCAGTGTTCCAATACAAGGCAGCAGAGAAGCCACTGGCAGACTCCGAGTGCAATGGCTGACCCAAGACAGGCTTGAGTGGCTGGGAAGGCTTCGTGGTGGAGGCGATGGTTGAATTGGGCTTTAGAGGAGGTGTGGGTTTGGGTTGCTGGAGAGCCTGCTTATGGCACAGTGGCTCCTGCTCACCGTGGGGTGTGTACAGCCCTTTCCCCTCTTGGACTTCACCCTGGAGCTGTCTAGACGCATGCTTGTGGTTCCAGGCCATCAGATCTGGCTATCAGGTAAACCCTGAAAGAAGTGTCATGAGAACAGGATTTGGAAATAGAGCAATTTGTCAGTGAAGTAGAATTTTTGCAGATATAATGATTTGAGAAGCTCATTGTCAGGGCTGTATGTAGAGGTGGTCTGGGTAATGACCAAGATGGGGAAGATGCTGGTCTTTCGCCCACATGAGTGTTGGGGAGGGCTTGGCTCATGGCATGGTTGCTAGTTGTGAGAGGCATTGTTTGCCTGCGACAGTGTTGGGTGCACACACCTTGCAATCCCCTTGTCTCTTTCTTTGCACTAAGCTGTGACTGTGGATTAGCTACTTACCATTTGGTCTGTTTCCACGTCTGTAAAATGAGGCAGTGTTTTAAATGACCCAACCCTCGCCTTATAGCATGTTGAGAACTTCTTCCTGAAAGAAAGGTGGGAGCTGGGACACAGCAGGGACCATCAAGGGGCAGGGCCAGAGGGAAGTTGTTGTCAGTTTATTTGGGCCCCAGCCTGTCCTCTTCATTCTGGGCCCCCCTTCCGCAAGGGGCAGACATTCCAATGCAGTGAATTCCAACGACATAACACGAATTACTTACTGTATGTCAGGCATTCTTCTCAGCTCTTTATATACCATTTTATGCTCATACTAGCAAGTGGACATGAATAGTGTCCACATTTCATAGATCAAGAATATGAAGCACAAATAAGTTAAGTGACTTGCCTGAGGTTACACATAGCTACTAAGTGCCAGAGCCAGAAGGGAACTCCAGGTGGCCAGCCTCTTAACAACTCCATTCTCCCCCCCCCGCACTGGCTGTGGCTAACTCAGTGTCAACCTGGGCTGGTGTCAGCTCTCAGGAATCCAGCTGGAGAGGAGGGGTGGGCTGTAGCCTTCTCAGAATGGAGGCACTTGGATGAAGGACTAAGGGAGACCACTAAGGGAGTGCCTGAAACCAACTGAGCTTTGGTGAGTGGGCAGTGCCCTGTTGCCTACTGGCTGGTGCTCAGGAGGGCTGTGAGCAGATGGTCACACAGAGCAGGTGTTCAACAGGAGGGACGAGGCCTGGTGATCAAGCCAGTTGTCGTCAAGTTGACTCTGACTTATGGTGACCCCACCTGTGTCGGAGGAGACCTGTGCTCCACAGGGTTTTCAATGGCTGATTTTACGGCAGTAGATCGCCAGGCCTTTCTTCTGAGGCACCTCTGGGTGGACTTGAACCTCCAACCTTTTGGTTAATGACTGTGTGCCTTACTGTTCGCACCACCCAAGGACAAACTCACCTTAGAGACCGTGTTTTTTTCTAATTTTGGGTATCTCAGTTTCCTAGGAGTTTCTGGATGGAACTTCAGTAGTTTCATATAACCTTGTCACTTTTGCCTTTGACAAACTCAGTCTAATGCTGAGTAAACACTCTGGCCTCCCGGCTGCATGTCTCCCTGCCTTGGGGCTTGGACGATAAGCTCATGTTTTCCAGCCTTGATTATTCTCAATAGATTTTATCTTCCTTCTTTTTCCCTCCCCCTAAGGCTTCATTGTTTCCCATTTGTCCACATCTCTTTCCTCCATTTTTCTTGTTAAGGACAGATTTAGAAAATGAGTTTAGTCTCTTGGCTATTTCGGAGTCATCATTAATTTTTGTCGCTCTTCGTTTCTTAGCAGACCACAATGTCATGCCTTTTTCTCTCTTGTTTTTTCTTGATGGATTTGTGAAAGTACCTTTTATTCTTGGTTAACCCCTTTGTCTCCTAGGACTTGCCTTGGTCCTGAGCGGCCTCCACTCTTTCTGGCAGGTCTCATAGGTGGTTCAGCTGCTGGTTGTGATTGTTAGGGGTTTGAAGGGTCCCCTCTGGTTGTTGTTAGTTTGCCGTTGAGTTGCTTCTGACTCATGGTGACCTTAGGTATAATAGAATGAAATGTTGCTTCATCCTGCACCATCTTCATGATCACTGGCAAGTTTGAATCCATTGTTGTGGCTGTTGTGGAGGAGACTTCCAACCCAGGGGCTCATCTCCCAGCACTGTACTGGTCGGTATTCTGTTGGGATCCATAGAATTTTCACTGGATGATTTTCAGAAGTAGATCTCCAAGCCTCTTTTCATAGCTGTTAGTCTGGAAGCTCCATGAAGCCTGTCTACCACAGGTGATGCTGCTGGTATTGAAATCCTGGCAGCACAGGCTGGGGTTGCACCCCAAATGCACCGTGAAAACACCTGAAGTGTTCATGTCAGACTTGTAATTCACTTTTGCAGAGGTGTACCTCTCTCCCTGATGTACAGTCTCCTTGTGGGCAAAGACTGTTGTTGTTGCGTGCTGTGGAGTTGATTCCAACTCAAAACAACCCCATGTGACAGAGTAAAACTGTCTTATAGGTTTTCTTGACTTTACAGAAGCAGATTGCCAGGTCGTGGGCAAAGAATTAAAAAAAAAAAAAGAAACCCTTTGCTATCAAGTCAATATGGACTCATAGTGGCCCTATAGACTAGGTCTTATTAAATCATATTTCCTTAATATTAAGTACATATTTGAAGAATGAATGAATGAGTGAATGGGGAGTGAATGAGTACAGAAAGCATGCACTTTAGAGGTGGACAGACTAGGCTGTGAACCCCAACTTTGCCAACTCTTTAGCTTTGGATTCTTGGCCAGTGAATTGAGTCTCAGTATCCTTACCCAGAGCACTGGGAAAAGAATTCCCATCTCACAGGGGTTTTGTGAGGATTAAAAGACAGAGTGAACATAAAGCACCTACCTCACTGGCTGCACGTAGTAGGTGCTCAATAAATGCTATGTCCTCCTCCCTGGCAGCTATCTCAGAAGTTCAGTTCTGATTAAAGGGATTCAGGAGCCCCAGCACTGAGCAGCTGGATGTGTGGCTTCTCTGGGATTCTGAGACTCTGGAGAAATTCTGACCTAATATGGAGGGAGACCAGAAGCCCACTGGACAATGCAGTTAGAGAGTTGTATCGGGGAGCTGCCTGGAGGCCAGCACAGCCCTTCCCAGGCTTCCAGGGCAATGTAAGGCACGTGTGCCTTTGCCGGGGCATGTGAGGCGTGTGGTGTGAAAGCACTTCATAAACTACCAAGTTACAATAAAACTTGAGGTATTAGTGTGTTATTATCATCAGGGAGAGAGCTTCATTGGTGTATTATTGTCATCTTTCTGGGCAGTGGTGGTTCAGTGGTAGAATTCTTACCTTGCATGTAGGAAACCCAGGTTCGATTCCTGGCCGATGCACCTCATACACAGCTACCACCACCTGTCACTGGAGGCCGTGTGTTGCTATGATGCTGAGCACGTTTCAGTGGAGCTTCCAGACTAAGGCAGACTAGCAAGAAAGGCCTAGAAATCTGCTTCCAAAAATCAGCCAGTGAAAACACAATGATCACAATGCTTTGATCTGCAACTGATCATGGGGATGGTGCAGGACCGGGCAGTGTTTTGTACCATTGTGCATGGGGTCACCATGAATTGGGGGCTGACTTAATGGCAGCTAACAACAACAATATTGTCGTCCTCAGTGAGGGAATTGAGGCAGAAAAAAGGGGTGGCAGTGACCTGGAGCCAGCCATGCAGGAGGTTCTAAGGCAGATTTAAGCTGTAGCTCTCTAGTCCCTAAGCACTTATTGCTGCCCATTCAGCCCTGAGTCACGCTCCTTTTTCCAGGCAGATGTTTCTCCTTGGTTTTGGTCATCTTTCCGCCTTAGAATTTACATCTGCATTTCTTTAATCTTGTTGAGCCTTGGGCTTTTCCCATGATTTTGAAGGCTTTGCCCAGAATAACGCTCATCCTGTTTGTCTCTGACAAAGGGTCAGTTTGTATAGGCAAAGGGGGTTGAATTCTCAAGAGGGCCACCCCATGCCTGGGGTCGAAGGCACTCACCCTTCAGGGCCTCTGCCTCTCTCTGTGAGATGGTGGACTGGTTGGATGGGACTATATCTGTCTTGTCTAAGCTGGAGCTCTTTCTGCCAATTGGAGTTATCTGTGGTTGAGGTTAGGGGTCATCTAAGCTCATTTGACTTCCCAGAATGATGAGGGCCCTGGAGCCCTTGGGGATCCTAGGATGGGCCTGTTGGGAACCTGCATGAGGTTCTCAGCACCCAGTCTCCAGAGCCCAAGTCCTAAGGGTGCAGAGGCCTGGTCCTTCTTCTGCCTCTTGTATCCTGGTGATGATCAATATATTGTTACAAGAAACTAGTACAACCAGAACGTTCCTTAGAGGCAAGGATGGCAAGACTTCATCTCACATACTTTGGACATGTCATCAGCAGGGACCAGTCCCTGGAAAAGGACATCATGCTTGGTAAAGTAGAGGGTCAGTGAAAAAGAGAAAGACCTTCAACAAGATGGATTGACATAGTGGCTACAACAAAGGGCTCAAATGTAGCAACAATCGTGAGGATGGCACAGGACCGGGCAGTGTTTCATTTTGTTGAATGTGGGGTTGCTATGAGTCGGAATGGCCTCAATAGTGCCAAACAACAACAAATTCTCTTGAGGTAACTAGCAGGTGACCACCTCCTCTCTACGTTTGTCCCCTCATCTTTAAAACGAGTCCAATCCTGTTGTCTTCACCTTCGCCCCATAGGATTACCTGTTGTGAGGGTTGACTGGATTGTATTAGGAAAAGACTTTGACGAGCGTAGAACCTGAGCACCTGACAGGATCTTCAGGGGGTGCTGTGTCCTGTGATTGTTCAGCTGGGTTTGGATGGTGTGGTGTTGCTGAGTCTCCTTGTCAGCCTCCTGGGAGCTTAGTCCTCAAGAGCAGATGCTGAGGTGGGATACAGTGAGCCAATCCCACCGAAGTGTTGGGCTCTCTGGGAAAATTTGACCAAAACACTTTATCCTTTTGGGTTTTGGCTAAAATGGATGCAAAAAAATGCAACTCTGTCTTATTTGAAGATCACGTTAAAGGTAAAGATTTTTTAAACAATGGTGCTGATGTAAATGACAACAGCTTCCTCCGCTGAGAGAAGCACCCCCTCTCTCCTGAGCCTGGCATTTAACCATTGTTGTTTTTGTGCCTTAAGGTCCACTCATGATGGCCCTTGGGGTCATGTGGCTCTTCCCTGAGACATGAATCCATTACTTCCCTCCAGAACCATTTATTGAGGTCTTACTCTGTCCTGGGCAAAGATGAAAAGGTGAATTACATTTAGGTCTTTGGCTTTAGTGAGATAGTCTGGGGGCATTGGAGGGAGACATGTCGAGGCACTTACTGGGCAATGTGGTGGGTGCTCGTGGATCTTTGGAGCACCTGGCAAAGTCAGGGAATACATCGTGGGGGAGGGGAAGACTTCCTGGGGTGAAGCCTACCTGAAACTGGAGAGCAAGTGGGAGTCAGCCCACTAAGAGAGACTTGGTGGGGGAAATGGTGCTGGTGGGCCTGGTGACAGCTGTTCCAGGCATAGGAACCATGTGCTGAATGTTAGAGGTGGGGGTGGGGGGAGTTAGAGGGAAAGTATGGTATGTTTGTGGAACCCCAGGATCCCTCTGAACCTGAAATCAGACTGACAGCATGACCTCCATCATCATTCTGTCCTGTGGCCCCCGAAGTAGGTCGCACTGTAGGATTAGACTCTTTGTTTTCGGCCACCTTGTCTCCCAAGTCAGTCCATGAGCTGAGGCTCCTCTTACTAAGGCAGCAAAGCTCCGAGGAGCTGTTTGTGTCAGGGGGAGTCAGTGCAGAAAGGAGGTTCAGGACAGCAGAAGGACAGGGCCCCCTATGGTGTGCCCGTTTGCTTCCAGACTACAGGTGTCTGATGCCTCTACACTTCCTTCCAGAGGGAGGTCTTGATGCTTCCCCGCCAAGGGTCCCAGACTCTCTTCCAAGTGTCCTAAGGGCCACTGCATCCTAAGAGGTCTCTGCATCCCATATTCGTTTTCCATGCATCTGGCAAAGAGCTTTTCTAAACATTTCAATCTGATCATGCCACTCCTACCGGTGCCTCTGATGCCTTTAGGATAAGAGCCAGACTTCTTGCTGTGGCCGATGAGCGTGCAGCCTGTGCAGAGGCTTGGGGGAGGGAGAGTAGGGTAGGACAGATGTGAGACCAGCCTCAGGATCGGTCCCACCCGTCCTCCACCCACCTCTCCTGCAGCACCTCCTCTGAGGCTCTCTGCTCGGTCACATTGCACCCCTCTCAGCACCTCCAGTGTGCCATGGACCTCGCACTCCTAGCTTTTGCCTGGGCTGTTCCCTCAGCTTGGAAGACTTCTGTTCAGCCTTCAGCTCTCTTTAGTGCCTGCTATTCAAGTTTCAAAAGGAGCTCTGGTGGTGCAATGGTTAAGCACTCAGCTGGTAATTGAAAGGTCGACGGTCTGAACCCACCAGCTGCTCCGCTGTTCCTTTACCACTCTCTTAGGTCCCTCTTCTTTCCTGTTATTGCACTTGACCCAATAAGTATACATTGGATTTTAATACAGGCAGTCCCTGGATTACAAACGAGTTCCATTCCTAAGTATATCTTTAAGTCAGATTTGTACAGTTAGGCACAGTTTGCATCTAATGTTGGTTAGTCAAATGTCTGTCTTAGTATATAGTATATAGTATACCTTTCTATGCATAAAAAAAATAAGAGAACACTTCCAGATACACTAGAACCTCTTTAACGTAATAATACAGTAATAATAATGCTTTGATGCGCATTGTGAAATAGTGCCTGTTTGTTATTACGAATCATTGTGTGTACTTCAGATTTTTAATATAATAGTCTTTACGTGGATTGGTTCGTAACTACGAGTTGTACGTAAGTCGGACATTCTTATCCCGGGGACTAGTTGTAATTATAAAGTTGTGTGATTAACTGATGCCTGTCTTCCCTACTGGACTGAAAACTTTTTGAGGAAAAAGCATCGAGTCTCTTTTCTTTACTACATGATACAGAAGAATGAACAAATCAGTCTTAGGAGAACAGTAACTAGAGACTGACTCCCTTACTTTGGACACATCATTAGGAAAGACTAATCACTAGAAAAGGACATCGTGCTTGGGAAACTCTCAATGAGATGGATTTACATAATAGGCACAACAGTAGATTGAAACATACCGATGATCATGAAGATGGCGCAGGACTGGGCAACGTTTTGTTCTGTTATACATAAGGTCGCCATGAGTTGGAGCCAACTCAATGGCAATTAACATCCACAAAACTCAGCCCTGGGCAAGCCCTGGCACATGGTAGGCAGTGGTACACCATTGTGAGCTAGTGCATGAGTGATTGGGTGACTGGATGGATGGGCTGGGTGATGGTCATTTGTCTCCTTTTATTCAATGGGTAAGCGTCAAACCCAAAGACATCCAGTGAGTTGGCCAAAACCACAGGGCAAATGGAAAGTAGACGTGTGCCTTTGAGAGACTGAACAAACTCTGTGATGTGAGTCAAAGCTTGTTTCATACTGTGTCAGTGCCTCTCAGAACCCGGTCCCCTCAGGAGAGTTAAGGGGAAGGGCCTCACCACCCACCCACCACTCACCACAGTGTCTCCCTCCAAGAGTAAAAGGGCACCTTGGTCCTCTTGCCCTGACCTACATTTGGGAATTCCTGCTGTGCCCCCATGGTGTGAGCAGCCTACCCACTCCAGGAGGCACTGGGGCTGCCCCTTCCTAGGCCAGCTGTCCTCTGTGGCTCATGAGCCTCTGCCAGCTCTAGGAAGGATGGTGTTTGCAAAGAGCAACCGTGTGCTCCTTGTTTATTGTGCAGAAAAGAAAACAAATTAAGCCCTTGTAATTATACTGTCAGGCATGTTCTTAAATAAAGCATAAGCAGTCAGAACTCCATTTAGAATATTAATAATTGCAGTCCTCAGCCCTGATCACAACAGCTTTCTCTTTCTGCTCTGCCTCTCTCCTCCCGTCTATCTTTTCTCCTCTTCTCCTTTGTCTTCCTCACAGGTGCTTGGACTTCAGCAATCCCTGGAAAGCCTAACTGGCTGTGATTAGGCATACCTGTGAGCCCATATTGCACTCTTCAGAGATCATTGTCAGCATTTATTAAGTAGTCTTACGGGCGTGAGGCGGGGCTGGGATTTTCTTTCTCTGCCTCCTTTTTTTGGTTAATCATTGAGAAGTCACATAGTTTTGCCCTTGAGGACACGAGTATTAGAGTCAGTGAGAGCTGAGTGCATTCCCAGCTTGGCTAATGACCAGCTGTGACACTTTAGTCAAGTCATCTAATCTCTTTGAGCTGGTTCTTCCCTCTGGCGACAAAATCATCTTACTCAGGGACATCTTGA